CTAGTTGAAATACTTATAGTGATTTGGTGTCAAGTTTGGAAATTATTAATTTCGACTTTTAGAGCATTCAGTGTATGAGTTTTTGAATAAAACAAGATTACCCGTTCGCGATGAGACATTATAGTCGTAGGTACGATTCACGACGAGCTCGTGAGTGCATTTGTCAGAGGAGTCAGCCTCATATCAAGACGAAACAGATTTCTAATAACTCCTAGTATGCAATCGCTGTCGATCATCAATTCGTAATGTAGATAATCAAAGTACTACGGTATAATTGTAAGATAACTAATAAGTTAACTGCTGAGTTATTTGTCTCACTATAATAAAACAGGTTTAAAAATTTCCTTGGTTTTTCACATATAAAATGTTCAAAGGCATTCACTATGTGCCACAATTGCCCTTATCCTACTATCATTAGACGCAAAATGTTTTTCAGCTGTCGAAACCATGTTAACTAGCACATTTCGATTCGTTTTTCATGTGTGTTCATTCTTCTATGTGCATTAGCAACGTATGAAGTAAAAATAAATAAAATAGAGAAATCCTGTTCCAAAAGGACAACCTAGTAATATGAATGAATGAAACATTATGTAAATCCAGTTGCAGTTCAGTAACAGTTAACATTATGCTTCATTAGTCAGTGACTATTTAATGGGATATTTTCTGTAACTTAGTATCAATCTACTTAAGTTCTTTGACTACTTTCATTTGAATCAACTAATCATTTCGAAAACAATTTATTTCTTTAGATAAGTGTATAAAATGTAATGAAGAGATGAAATTTATCAAAACTATATGTTTTCATCTCAACGAAATTCTAATTTTACTTCGGCTGGGGTTCGAATAGAATTATGTGCACCAGATCATTTATTAAGTTTGTGATTCCTGGAATAATCATTATCATCTCTATAACCACCGATTCAAATGAGATGTATAGTTTTTTCGTAGGTGGTTTTTTAAAAAGCTAAGTATCACTTATAGATGTGAATATATAGTTTTCAACTTGGTGGTCAAAAGGTTAAGGTTTTACTGAAAAATCCCCAAGGGCCTGGTGGGCCGTGGAATCGTATTTCTGAAAAGTCTCATTCTATGTGCGAATTCCATGGTCGCCATGAATTCATGGACCTAAATATTGTGCATCGGAACACTTATAAGGAAAGGCTATTCGTTAGTAAGGTTATACTTCCTCAAATACTGCGACCGTATTTGTTCAGTACTACAGTCGAGTATTCTTAACAGAAGGCAGATTATCCATTTAGAAAAGTTGTTTACAATAAATTGCTCACTGTATAACATCAAGAAAATGTATTTTATGAAAACGAACACTATTATAATTTTTGAAGAGATAAAAAGATAGTAATTTCATATTCATGATTCAAAAGCATTTACGAATTAACCAACAATTTGCTTACATAATGTCGATCCCATTTCTAAATGCTTGCAAGACACTGCCATTTAAAGTTAAGGACGGAAGCTAGGTAATGATGGCGATAAAGACATTCAGAGGTATCAAGCCGATTATTACTGCAGATATATGTAGGAAGTGGATAAGCAAGATTATATGATCATTTTTATTTAAACGTTGAATATGTTTTGGTAGAGAGATAGTAAAGTTATTTCAGACATGAATACTCAGACAAATCATTAATAGACTACGGGAAATGAAACGCAAGTACTAGGTTCATCGGAAGAGTCGTCAACTATTCGTCTCTGAAAAATACAAGCCAGGATAAGTTTATTCTTGTTTAACAGAGAAAACATGGAACAATTTGCAAATGTTGATTAGTTTACTAATTTTGACAACTCTCTAAAATCGACTGATTTAAAACAGAAAAATACTGTCATATTGTTTTGTTTTATCAAAATCCGTTTAGATCAGCAAGCTACAACAGAAAAAATACTGTCCATACTCCATTTTCCACTAACACAATCCAATAATACAGCCTGTTTTTCAGTGAATATTTTGTCAGTAATTAAAGTTTATCGCTCACCCTGATTTCTAGTTTCATCAAAATTACTTTTGAATTAGTTTTCTTGAGATTCTACAGTTAAAACACGAATTTCAGCGAAGGGATCTCTTTTCAACGAATTTATTATCAAGCTGTACAATCGTATATATATGAAAATTTTTTGTTTTTTTAAAAGTACTAATTCCGCAAGGAAATGTGAACACAGTTAATAAAAAGGTTCTAATACTAGATTACGTAATATGAATAATAACAATAACATTCTCCCCTTTACTTATGTCTTATATTCTCATTGTTTTATTCGTGAATACTCATCATATCACCATATTTATTTTTACACCTCTATGACCTTTGATTATTGTAACCAAAACATTTTAATCATCTTATTATATTCATCAAATCTAGCTTCAACTGACTCATGATTTCAACCTGTGAAATTTCTAAAATCTCCACAAAACCCATTCTGATAATAATCAACTGCTCATTAGTGACTGACTTCAAGAAAAACTCCTGGAGTTCTAGTGAGAAGCCGTTACCAGTGGAGTTCAACCGGTCTGTTGTGAGATAACAACTCGCTGAAGACAATGGTGTACGGTGGCGCAACTTCGTGGATTAGTTGAAGTTAGACATTAACACCGTTGGATGCCGGCTCAGTGGTCTAATGGTTAAGTGCTCGCGCGCGAAGCAAGTAGGTCCTAGGTTCGAGCCCCGCGTGGTGCGGGATCGTGGATGCGCACTGCTGAGGAGTCCCGTACCAGGACGAAACGGCCGTCCAGTGCTTCCAGGTTTTCAATGGTGGTCTAGCTTCAACTGACTCATGATTTCAACCTGTGAAATCTATTGTTATTATTTATATTACGTAATCTAGTATTAGAACCTTTTTATTAACTGTGTTCACATTTCCTCGCGGAATTAGTACTTTAAAAAAACAAAAAATTTTCATATATATACGATTGTACAGCTTGATAATAAATTCGTTGAAAAGAGATCCCTTCGTTGAAATTCGTGTTTTTATTTTAATGTTTAAATGGGAACTATCTGTCAATTCTACAGTTATACATCTGAATTAACAATAAAAAAAGTGTCCAGGCTTACGGTAAATATATCGTTTAATATTATAACGCGTGAATTTAACAATCACTTGTCGAAATCCATTAGATCAAGAATTCTTAAAAGGACTGAATCAACAGCTATTTGGATCAAAATGTCGGAGCTTGACATCCGGAAGAAATATACCTAACTTATTTTCTTTTGACCAAATTAATTAATACTTATTTTAAAGATATGAGGACATAATTTGATTGATGTAGCATGCAGTCTTCCTCTTTGCATTTCCACAGCTTAAATTTATATTGTTCTCGCATATTATGATTGTTAGAATTATTCTAACATTTGTAAATGTTTAGGAAATTTATTTAGAACCCACTCTTATTTACTATTTTTTACCTAATCCATATTACTCTTTATATTACATAATCTTTGATCAGAAATTCATTTTAACCTTTGATTATAATTTTATCTTTAACCTCATGTTGCCTATATTTATTTTGATCATTTATCGTACAAACTAATTCAAGTCAACATTGCTTACTAGTCATCACAACACTAACAGGTTTGTTTAACAATTTAAATCCCGAACTGATCTTAACTAGGCCGCCAGAACAAACCTGGAAAGACCGAATGACTTTCATATGATGATACGAGACTCCCAAGAAGCGCGGATCCACGACTCCGTACGTGAGAATCGAACCCAGGACCTTCGTATCACGCGCGAACACAGACTTTAGACCACTCATCTAAAATCCAAAGGTGTTAATTTTATCTTATATTATAAGCTATTTGAAATCCTCATAATATAATTTTAAACTATATGTATTTACAGGTTTTAGTGACAAGGTTGAACTTGATAGTTTCAAATAAATTGAGCATGGGGTAGAGAGTTAATAATAAATATATTTTTTGTTATATCCCAGTGAGTAGAAAAATTGTAATTCTGACGTTCCGTCACTTGGGTTAATTTAATTCAGTTATTTATCTACTAAGAAGAAGTGACTTACATTAAGTCACGAAACATCAGAAATACAATTTTTCTACTCACTAGTATATAACAAAAAATATATTTATCACTATATATATTTACCTTAAACCTAGTCATTTTTTGGGTTATTAATTTGGAAATATAAGTGTAGAACTTGAAGAGAATTCATGGAAAAGAATATTCTTCGTCCATATCCATATTTTTTTCAGTTTGGGGTTGTGAAGATTGTTGAATTTTATTAGAATCATCAACCGATCAATGTTAGACTACCACTGAACACCTAGAAGCATCGGACAGTCATTTTGTCGTGATATGATGGAAATTTTTCAGCGAGAACTACTTTTATTTAAATTGAATCTAACAAGCTAGTTTGCTGCTTCATCTTTTTTTCTGAGTAAAGTCATTAAAATGTTATTTCAATTGTATATTGGACGTTCTTATCGAGTTTAATCTACTTACTTATCAAAATGATATTTTGACCGAACATTATCTTTCATAATCAAAATGACTTTGAAACAGAAAGGGAAATTAGCTATTTCTATTTTGTGAAACGTTTTATTATGATTATTTATGAAAAAGAGTGAATTTGTTTTATTCAAGTGGTGAATTTAATTGGTTGGTTTTAATATCTAACCTTTGTATTCTTATGACTCCAAAAATATACATAAAACCAATCGCAGAGCAGTATCTTACTGTGATAATTATGTCTGGAAATGGTACTTTCAATTTGAATGAGCTAATAACTCTGAACGAAGTTCATTCAACATAGATACATATGTACTCTATAGAGATGGGAAAATATTATACACATAGGAGAAAATTTGTAGACATTCATACTTTTATTTCAGGCACATATGAATACGAAAATGATAGTTTACAGGCACATACATGTGTGTTATATAATTGGGTGTCTTTTGTATGTATGTATGTACGTATATGTATATATATTGTATGTATGTATGAAAATGCTTATGTATGTTTGAATGTAAAAGTAATAGCAATAACTATAATTATAACTGAATTTTTAATAACTTCCTACTGTATACACAGATAAAATAGCACAAGATGATTCACAAACGATTCAAATCGATGGAAGCAAGGCATAATGTCATAAATTGGCATAGTAAATACATGTTACGAGTATCAATGATATAATTGATTCATTCGGAAATGTACTTAACAGTAATATCAGTGTAATTACTTCTATTGTTAGTAATTAATTGTTTTATGGACTTACTGAGGATTATTGTGGTTATTACATGTTTACTGAAGAAAATGATCAGAAATAACAATTGAATTTTTGTTAAGAAAAAGTACTTAGTTCGTATTAAAACTGATTGAACACTGTTTTATGGGATCATTTGTTTACTGAATGTGTCAAACATGTAAGTTATGATAATAACAGTTTGTATTATTATCACTGTTCAATGATCAAGTAGCTATCGGCTTGGAATTAGAATCGGGTCATGACTTGTATAATAAAATAATTAAAGCGTCAGCTTAATTATACTATGGTTATGGAAATCTATCCTTGTTTATAAAAACAATCAAAGGGATATTCGCTATTCAATAGTCGTAAATCAAGAGCGATCAGTAAGTACAATAAGAAGACGAAGATTATCAGATTACATTAATTTAAATTTATCAAAGGGACTGATTGCTTTAAATCAGTAAGTAGTTCCATATTTGAAATGTATTTATAAATGTTCAGATGCTTGTATGGATTAATAGTAAAGAGCAAGTAGGGTGAAACTATTTGACCTTGATTTTTATCTAGTGGTGATGATTTTACTGTGTACAGTAAACTAGTGTACTTTACTGGTCCTCTTTATGTGAACGTTTCTCCATTTTTAATTAGATGATTAGTCCGATATTTGAACTGTAAAATAAGCAGTGAAGTATTATTGTTAACTTAGATTATTCCGTGATGGTTATGGGTCTATTGCATACAAATACTCATAAGTAGTAAAATGAAATTATTCAAGACAAAAATTATTTGTCATTTGACACCTTCATCTAATGATGTTATTTATATATTACTACAATTCTAAAGCTTACAACTTTCTAAAACCAAGAGTACTGAGTATTAAGTTATATTTGTCTTCATTATCAGACTGATCATCTTTGTCAGAATGGGAGTTTGCGGAGATTGTAGTATTGTAACAATTGAATTGATGAGTCGATCTAAGCTAGACCACCACTGAAAACCTGGAAACACTGGACGGCCGTTTTATCCCAGTGTGGGACTCCTCAGAAGTGCGCATCGACGATCCCGCGCATGGGACTCATCTTTAGTTCAAATCAACCAATAACTGAATTTTAAACATCATAATAACTCAAGTGTTATGAAAACAAAATTTAGTGAGTGAGTTAAATGTTATTTAGTCATGTCGATTAGTAATGGAACAAATTTTTTAAAATGCTTATATCATTACCTAGGTTTGATTTGCACGAGACTGTTATTGATAAAAAAATGAAGACAAATTTGTAATGTCTCAGTGGGCAAAAAAATTGAGTTTCTAACTTTTTGTGGCTAAGTGTAAGTTATTTCATCATACTCATATTCGGTTAGCATGATAAAAGCAAGCTTTAAAATTGTAAATCAACTATCGATACATCAATTGTCACGTTTTGAATGACAGATCCCACCCAACTTACTAAAACCTAATTTGTTTTTATAAAAATGAATTACACGTGCTACAGGTTTTACTTTTATAACAATCTTTAATTTATCATTATATGTGAAAATTATATTTGAAATATTCTCAGGGATTGAAATTTAACTAATTCCAACGTTTCGTCCAGACTTCTCTATACTCGGCGCCTAATTACTGTCAAACTATTCGTTCTAATCTTGACGAATATTCGTATAAGTCTTTAATGTGGTTTGATTGGAATAAAATATGATGAGAATTCATTAAAAGTATAGGGAAAAATCCCAATAATTTTTCTGTATGATCAAGAAAATGTGCAACTTTCAGAAGATCCATGACACCTGAATCAAGTACACTTCAGTTTCATTCCGCCTTTAATTTAGAATGCTAAATTCTACAAAAGACACATTCCTGCTAAAATATAAGGTCTTTAGGTTTTTTTTAATCCGTAGAAATAAATAATTAAAAATGTAAGTTATCAACTAAAAATCATAATTTCAATGGTTGAGATCACGAGTCAGTTAAAGCTAGACAACCATAGAAAACCTGGAAGCACTGGATGGCCATCTCGTCTTATTGTGGAACTCCTCATCAGTGCGCATCCAGTATCCTGCCTCACGGGATTCGAACCCAGGGCCTATCAGTTTTATTTATAATCTCTGTACTTGGCATTTTTTGTTTGCTGAAATTCAGCAACGAATTGACCAATCTTTCATGCCACATTAACTTCTTGATTCACAAATTATCCACATTTACATGCTGATAATGTTTTAAATAACAGTCCGAGTTAGAATCAAAAGAAAAAACTTATCCATCGTGAGCTGGTGTGACCCAAATAAAATTGAAGTGCTACCTAATAATTAAAGTTTAAGTATAATATATTTCATTTCAATGTATTTCTATCCATCAGTTATACAACATTCATATATTTAGGTATGATAACTCGCTTCAGTAAATAATAAAAGTAATTTTGTTCATTTAACCCATTACAAATTTCGAGATAATTCAATATGGGATTATCTGTGAAAGTATTTTATCATAACCCTGTAACTTTTAAATTATGTCCTCTTTTTTTATACACATAATTTACAATATTTAATGATTACTACTTAATTAAGTGAATGAATATAATATCTTTTATCTAATTGTATCCAAATAAGAGTTCAATTTATGATAAATCTTCCAATGAATACCAAGTTCAAAATTCATTTCTTTCAATTCCACATATAGACATTCATACATTCATTTAAGGAAGCATTCTACTTACAAGAAACTATGAACAAACCAGTAGTTATATTTTATATACGGAAACTTCTTTCCCTCCCTCCCCAACAATATCATGCAATATTTTCAATGTCTGACTTTTGAATAAATGAATTTAAAATACACACTTTAAATGTTGTTAACTAGTTATAACAGCTGATATAATATTTTTCTGACAAAAATTTACATAATCTACCAAAGTTATAAGTACGTATTGAATGGTTAAAGATAACCGGCTGAAAGTTTTATGTAGTATGACACTTAACAGAATGACATTATTTGTTGCTAAATAATTTTAAACTTATGTTGCTTAAAACTACACTTGGAAGAGTTGATACTAAGCACATTATAAACAGCAAAGTATTTAGTAACCAACGCAATGTAACATTTGGATAATGTTTGGTGGTACAGTTTATTGATGAAACAAAGAAAAGTTACTTATATGTATATAGATAAATAATACATTTGTAATATCCCAATGAGTAGAAAAATCAAATTTTCTGATGTTTCGTGACTTAGTGTAAGCCACTTCTTCAGAGGATCCTTTTATTTATAACAATCTACCCAATGTTCAATTTATTCGAAATTATCAAATCAAACCTTGGTAATGATACCTACAAACTTATATGTTTATGTAATTTTCATTATAGTGTTATTTCAAAAGAATGATACTAGATAGCTCTGTTATCATTATTTGGTACTTGTCGTTGTTGAACACTGACTAACCTAACCTTATTAAATCTAAAACTTTCAAATTATACAGAGCATACGACTTTTTCAGACGATCAAGTTGGAATACAATGATCTGCATTTAGATCCCATTTAATTATGCTAAATCACTCGGTATACATACATTCAGATTTTTAAATACTAGAATAAAAATTGTAATTAGTTATGAATTCCACTTGATTGAGAAACTCTACCGGGCATATATTTATCGAACTGGTATTGTAGTTCACGTTGTTTTTCAACTTTCTCAATAAGATAAATCATTTTTACAACAACTTGGTCTGTTTGGTAAAATACTTCATATGATTGAATTCAGTGAATCGATCAAGTTATATAAAGGGACTGGTCGGGAAATTCCAACCTGAACAGGTTCTAGAAAATAAAACAAATTTTCCTCTATATATATTTATATCGTTGTAGCTAGAAAATTTTTCAATAAATATGAAGGATCCATGCAATGCTAAAAAATGATCATTGACTGTTTTAACACGTCATCATTGTGGTAAAAGTGTAAATATTCAATGTTACCGGCTAAGCTAAAAATTTGTAAAATGAACTTAGTAGTAGCTAGATAATAGTTCTAAGGTTTTAATTAATCGATTGAAGGTCTCAGTGATCAGCCTAGCCATGTTAATAGGATTATGTTTAATACTCCTAACAGTTACATAACACCGTTGTATGGCGACGCAGTGGTCTAGTGGTTAAGCGCTCTCACGCGAGACTGATAGGTCCTGGGTTCGAAACCCACGGGGCGGGATACTGGATGTGCACTCCTGAGGAGTACCACACTGGGACAAAACGGCCGTCCATTGCTTCCAGGCTTTCCATGGTTGTCTAGCTTTAATTGACTCATGATATCAACTATTGAGATTACTACAATCTCCACAAAAACCCCTTCTGAGTTATATAATATTTTGATTACCCAATCGTTTATTCAAAATGTACGCTCGTAGCCGGTTGATCAATACTTTGAACTAAGGCCTAGTTAATGAACTTGTACATAATGAGTTATTGATGACGATTCATGCATTATTATGTAAAACAGATCATGTACATGTTCACGTTGTGTTTTTTAAGCGTTATATTAGAGCTATTGTATTTTAACTTGTTTTGTTCGGTAATTTAAAAATTTAGTCATTATATAAAGCGTTTTTGTTAATAAGATCTGAGAGAAAGCAGAAATCCTTTAGGGAAATGCAAAACTGTCAGTAAAGTTTAGTACGTACTTTTATGGATTATTAGATGTTTTAAAGAGAGTAAGAACAAAGGTTGGTGCAGAATAATATGAATTCATTTTATTTCGTTAGGTTCTCATCAGCTGCTTACAACCTAAAATATTTGAAATTCAACATTATTACAGATATTGACATACTTATACAACAGAGGGCGATGAAGGATGAATATATGTAACATAATGTGGTAAAGATTTCGTTAGAGTTAATGAGGTCATAAAATTTTGTTTCGAATATATAGAGTTTGGGAGGGAAGGTTCCAGAAAATTGAAATAGTGATTAGAAATCATGGAATTAAAACACAATAGACGATTATGTAATGAAGTAACTGAAAATAGATTAATGTTAATAAAGAGAGATATGAATTGAAATTGGTCAGTTATGAGTGATGTAATTATAAAATTCAGAAAGAATTGAAATGACGCAATAAAATAAATAAAATAAAAGGGGGGTGGGGTGAATGTTACCAGGGCAAAGAAAGATTTATTACTGTTTCTTTTTGTATACAAAGATCTGGTTTTAAACGTTAAACGCTATTGCTTCCGCGAATTTCAAAAGGTTTGAATTTGATTGTTTGTTGATCACCTTGAAGGACTTCAGTATATCGACTTCGTGTCCTGTGTCAAGGAGATGTCTTGGGACAGCGCTGCTAAATGCTTTTAGTCCGTTTGATCTCAAACTGTTCGGAATATGTTCTTTGAATCGGACGTAGGCTCTCCTTTCTGTTCTACCAATGTAACTGCTTTGGCAGATACATGTAAATTTGTATACACAGTTGGTGGTAACATGAAA